GCAATTTTATTATTTAGCTTTTCAACTACATCCTCCTCCTCAAATAACAATTGCTATATTATTATTTTATGCTTATGTGATATGATCATGGGGCGTTTCATATGTTATTATTATTATTATTTTAAAACAGTCAACGTCCTAATTAAGATGTCAAACACTTTTAAAAAATTTCATTTATTTTACAAGATATTTGCAACTAAACAATTACGATCGTAGAAAAAACTTTGGCAATAAAAAATCTGAAACTGTATACATGTTGGCTGTTTTAGCAACTTAATCGCTTATTCAGATTCTAAAGACTTTAGTTTATCCGATTGTCTGAAACAGCAAAAAAAAATTAATTTTTATTATTTTCTGTATCAGATTAATACTAAGATTATGCAATAAAGTAATACAATATTGAAATTAATACCAAAAAATAGAAAGCAACCAATATTTTAGTAGAAATTTAAATCAAGATGGAACCAACAGATAGATAAAATTAACTAATTAAAAATTGGGGGCACTCTAGTTAAATTATAAAATATAAAATTAATTATAAACTTGTTCTAATAAAGATGTTTATTTTCTTGAGGTTGTTGGACGTAAGAGAAAGAATCCAATTTTGTTTTCAGGAAGTTAGCTCCCTTAGCAACTAGAAATTCTTGATTTTCGATCTTCATTTTAAACTTTCAATTATTATGAATCACTTGAATCAATTCAGTCCATAAGATGCTAAATTGTTATCCTTCCTCTCTAAACTATTTTAAACAGAATGGCTGCTATAGGGTTGTTGTGAAAAAATAATTTCCAGCACCAAAATAATATTAACCATAGTTTCTGGACTTGAACTAAAGAGGTCTTCACCTAACAATAAGCTCAAGATCGTTTAATAATCCGAACAAATCTTCTCGGACAATAGAATGTATAATCTTAATTCATAAATTAGTACCTATTGATTATCCATTCTTGGAAAATTCAAGACACCTTCAGAGATTAAACAGGCGACAATTAATAAATTTTCAAAAATTAAAAATATCAATTAAAGCCTTCACTGTAAAAAGAAACGACTTCAGGTATTAAAATAATGGAACCAAAATATTTCCACAGTGTTAATAGTGTGAATAGCAACAATTTTGCAGTGTCACAATGTATAGAATAAAATGTTTCACAACAGATATTAAAATCTGTATGGATTTATAGATCTCCCACGTTATCAGAAGTGACACGAATTTCCATACGATAGACTAAGAAACTCTGCAGGAAAGATCATCTAATAATGAGGAGATTAATGACGGATGAGTCATGGTAGAAAATAAGGAGATGTGCTGATGCTGATACATCAAAAGGCTTCCGTTCTTTCATGATAAATCACTCCTCCACTGGATTTGGCAGTATGCCAGAAAGATTCTCCTCTTCCTTCCACTTGAATAAAAGGCAATAATAAACTTTAAAAAACTACCATTAAAAAATAATCGACTATCATCAACAATTAATTAAGATAATTTCTGTTAGTCTCTCTTCCCTAAATTGCCTCTAATTGGGAAACTACTTTATGTGCCGTGTGCATAAAGGAGGAGCATAAATTGCACATTTTTTCTGCTCTCCGAACCCTTAGGAGGGAATTTTTCGCACTTTTTATAACCGAATATAATGGCGCCAAAGTGTAAATAAGCAGCCCTTCTAATGAAGGTGGAGGAAGCTTTCAGAACTGTCTTTTTTTGGGCCTCACTTTCATTATTATTATTTTTAGTCATTAGGCGTGTGTGGTTTTTTTATAGCCTCCGGGACTTCCCCTCCCGCGAAGGGGAATAAGAATAAGACCCAAAGTAAAAATCTCGAGAGTTTTTTCGTGAGAGGTCGATGCGCCACGAGAGGTGTATTCTCATATCGTTGCTTTATTTTTTTCGTCGAGGGTTCAGGAACCTTATTCCTTAAGAAAAAAGTGAATCTTTTTAATATTGTTTCTTTTTTTATTACAAAGACTTAAAATTCTTTTTCTTTATTACTGCAAACAAGTCTCAAGTTTCGTCTTTACACACATTTATTTGCATACGAAAATTAGTATTTATTTTTGAAATTGCACATCTCCGGACAGTGCGTCAAGGGATCCTTCTTCTCTGCAATGATTAAGGTTGGATTGAAAAACAAATTTTTCAAGTGAAAGGTAAATATTAAAATTCTAAATTTTAATTAATTTTAACGCTCGTCACCAAGTTTCCCCATCGCATCGGACACATTTTAAATGAAAAGTCATAAATAAATATTTATGATCTCGATTGAAACGTTGCGTTGCGAGGAATGCCGTCAATGGAGAAAGAATACTGATAATTGTTATCGCAATATGTTGGTCTAAAAATGAAAGGGTTGAATTTGTTGGGAATAAAAGTGCATTTAATGTTGTTTTAATTAGTGCAAGTGCTTTGAAAAGTGAAATTCGTAAAGTGCAACTGCAGGTTGCAGCAAGTTTACCTATAAGAATTGTTATTTACGATAATTCGACATAAGGGAGAGGATTGAGAATCATTGAAGGTCTCCTGGACCAGTTTCGGTCTCGTTAATTAATCCATGAAATGCGAGCAAGGATGAAGAAAGAAAGTCATTGGATCGTGTCCGTTCGGATGAAATAAAAAGACTGGCTCTGCTCGGCTCAGTCGAATAACCCTCTGCGCACGATCGAGACATTGCGCGCGGTTAGCATAATTGCACCATAAACATGCAAAAGTGGATGCGTCGTTTTTGTTTGGTACATGATGACATCAAAAAACAGCGTTTCGCTTTCAGCGAGTTCCATCTTCCAATCGAATTTCTCGCTTGTTTTTAGATCATTCACGGGTGTGTTGCACTTTGCTTTTTATGGCGTTTCACGTTCTGCATAGATGTTACTCACTGATAGCAGCTGCATATTTTTCGTAGATTACAAGGTTATATACCGATTTCAAAGAATTATATTGCGTAAAATTCTTTCCAACAACCAAGGGCAGTGCAGGGTGGTGGAGGAGGAGGAAACGAGTTTCAACTTATATTCGTAAATGAGAGACACTTAAAGGAGACCAACTTCGATACATTTATTCCAATCGCCTCGATAAACAATTATTTACTGTAGCTAATATTCAGTAATGTACTGGCCATTAAAAATTTTATTTTAATCCTTATCCGTTTTCCTTGGAACGCAATATTCTAATTATTCCATTTTATTTTTAATTCGTTTCAATCTTTATTGTCAAAAGTCAAAAGCTGACATTTCTATTAAAACGATTAAAACACACCAATTTAATGATATTTCAAGCAAAAATCATAGATTCACCTACAAATGATTGAAAAACAATGAAATTTCGATATATTTGTTGCTAAAATGATAATTATCCAATTTTTTCGAGCCACATCTTGTCTTTCGGAACAAATGCCGCAACAAAGTGTTCGTCTTAAAAATTTGCAAACTTTTTGGGGTAGATGCTTCACCAAACTGTTTGTACAAAAAAAAACACTTGTTCCAAATTCTCCTCTACTCTTTTTACTCTTTTTCTACTGACTCCATTGTCAATAACGCACTTTCGCAAAATACCTTTTCCCTTATTTCTTTTTTGTCACTTTTTTCCCTCATTCTTTCCTCGCAACTGGAAAAATTAGCATATACACTCATGTTTTTGTTGTTTCTGTTTTATTCCTTTTTGTCGAATGAACGTAGAAATCGCGAATATTCAAGGGACTGACGAATTGTCGCCTCTCTCTTTCTACATGAGAGAAAGAAGATTTATAACTTTTTTAAAGTTCAAAAAACTTTAAGTGTATTGTATACAGATATATAGACATATGTATTTACGAATAAAGAACTGGTTACTCTGATGGAATAAATTCTAAACCACTCTTACGTGGACCGAATACAAAGAAAGTATCTATATACGTGCATAAAAATTCTCGCGGGTCAAAAATGCCTTTCAAGTCGATTACCTTTTCATGGGACACTTTTTTTTATTTTTGACTCATGATTTAAACATTTCAGGAAAAAGTTCTCAAATTCCAGAAAAATGAGAAATTTATTTAGAGGTAAATTTAGTTTCTGCCTTATACATATAATTATAGATAGCAAATATAAAATAAAATAATTTTTTTGAAATAAAATTCTGCGTATTAGAGAATTATATTCTTGCAAAAAGATTCTTGGGGTGACATAACTGTGAAATTAAGGATACAGCCACAGGTCAATAGTTGCAGTACTATAAAGAAAAGATGCCTTAACGTTCAGGTCAATAACATAACTTTAAATTTTAGGTTACAATTCGAAATTGAAGAAATTAGGTCAATGCTACAGGTCAACATTCAATGTGGCCTTCACATTTAGGAGAAAAATTGCAGTGCTATAAAGAAACTTTTCTCAAAGTTCAGTTTAAGGGACAAACATGACTTAAATTTTTTTGTGCAACACCTGTAAGGAAAGTAATACTTTGCATGCCTATAAAGTAGGCGCAAAACAGTACTTTGTTCAGTTCTTAAACTTTTGGGTTTTTTTGGTGATATACATAGGTATTTGTTTTCTATTCGTAGAATACCTGTCTTTTACAGTTTCCAAACAGCTTTTCTTACCAAAACCAAAAAGTGTTGCACAAAGTACTGTGTGCAACACGTACGAAAGAAGATTTTCCGATTTCGTGCAAACTTTGCACTCGTCGGAAAACAGCTTCTTTCTGTACTTGTTGCACAATATACTATTATTATAATTCAAAACTGAAAAAATGAACATAACCCAAAAATGTAGGTGAATACCACATATCAAAGGGCATAAAGTTTCCTTCAAATTTATGGTAAAAATTGCAGCACTGTACGGATTTAAATGCTTAAAAATCTTATATAAAAATATTTTAACAGAATAAGTCGATAAATGAGGAACTTTGTTTTAAAAGAGAAATATTTGACTAAAAAGTATATTTGTAATAGTTGTGATTATTTTGCAAGAAATTCATATAAATGTATTTAAGTGTGCTGTGCAATTTTCTTTACTAGATTGAATTTTTTTGTTTCAGATCTCTGGTAAGCTTTCTCACTCTCTCTCTCTCTCAATGTCTTTCTCGCATATCTGATTGTTACGCAAACTTAATGGTTCGATGACGTTTACGTGGTGTGAAAAAATTACTCGGCGACAATAATGTGAGGTCAACTAGTAAATGTATAAGGTAAGAAAAATACCGCAAACCGTTATCGCGGACTCACTTTTATCCCTAGCATACTAATGCAGGCTTATGAATGTGTCTATGTCTTAGTTTTAAGGATATTTGAATCACAGATATTATTTATGTTAAATAATTACACCTATATTCTTCCGCTATATGCTAATTATATTTACAATGCGTTAGTACCTTGTTTAAGTTCAAGGAAACTTTATAATAAACAAACTTGAAAGAAATCTCTTTCAGAAAATATCTATAGTAAAAGATAAAATTATTGTCACACGTAAATTGCAACAAGAAAGTATATATTTATCTTTTTCAAGAACGAGATTTCAATTAAAATATGGAAAAGAAAACATGCCAAGTTAACTTAGAATTTCTTCCTTTTTTTAATAAACAAAAATAAATTTAAGTCTCCATTTCAATATTATTTCGTTTCTGTTCGTATTTAGCATAACTTTTCATTCGTGTCAGAACTAAAAATACGCACTTAATGCCTTTAACCTGATGTACGGAATAAAGTTGTCTTGCCAAAAATGACTATATCTACATCTTATCGGATAAATCTCGTCTTTTTCGAGATTCGTTTTCGTGTTTCGTGTATTTTTCTCAATTTTGCGTCAATTTCAGGGGCGTAGAAACCAATGGAGGACAAAAGTCACACGAAATTTTGAAATTGAGAAAAAAGTACCTACTTCTTTTAATAACTAAATAACACGAGAATAACGAATTTCAAAAAAATCCCACAGGCACGAAAATTGTGCTTTTTTATTCTTCGACAGAGGACGTAAAAGAACTCATTTTTCTCTGCCGGTAAAAATTGAATTCTTGTTCTCCCTAGAGGAAAAATACTGTGTAAACAAGCAAGGTCACATAAAAAATGGCTCTATTTTATTACTCTTGACTAACATTGTATCGATTTTCGGTGGGGTCAAAGTAATATGAAACGGGTAATACATTCTGAACCATAAGATAGACGAGGATAGATATAGCACGTGATATAGTCACGTGATGCCGCGTACCTAACCTTCTCTGCTCACACAATTGCTGGCTGCCTACCTGCTTTTTCGTGTTCGTCGTATTGTGTCTGTTTCGCCGGTTTTCTAAACTTTAATTCACTCCCATAATTAAATCCTGTTAAAAAAATGAATCCTAATGTGCCACTTGAAATTGCCGAAATGGCAGTTTCGGAACAGGGGACCGGACGGAACAGGCTTGTACGTTTCAATGTATATCGGTCAACTAGTCTGTAACATAACTAAGTGTCTTGTTTCTAATGCAATGTTTAAGTTGATTGCCATTTGTAGTGTTACTATTTTCTTTCAGTTTTTATTATCTTTTAGGGAAGTTAGTTTTTGTGCCTTTGGAATAAAAAGTATCGTAAGCGCTACGTGGGTAAGCCATTTATTGTCGAGACTGATGTTTGCCTCACACGCTTCCGGCTAGGGCAGCTTCGGCGCCCTCACTTACAACTAGTGCTACAAACATCAGTCTCGACAATAAATGATTCGCTTTACCCACTAGCTGCTTAATGTACTATTTTGATTCCGGATTTCATATTCTAAATTCCCAAGTCCACACTAAAAATTTGAAATTCTAAATTTCGCATTCCCCATTCCAAACTCTGGTTTTTAACAAAAATTTTGAAATAGTGTCATACGAGTAATTCATTGGAAAATACCTGGAGAAATAATTTTAATTTTTTGAATTTATGCGTTGTTAATTGGAAGCAATATATTTATAAATAAACGTGGGAATAGTATTGTTATGAGTTCTCTTTCATCCTGCGGTTTTCAAACAAGTAACTGTGTTTCCATTAACCGCGAATTTCAAACAGGGATCAATCTCTGGTGCAATTCGTCATTCGCACAGTGGCTCACCTGTGACGATTTATTGAGACATCGCTTCAGATGAAAAAAGAAGTCAAGCTAAGTGGCACTTTTCTAACAAGTCAATTCGTCCTGTTCCACTTGTCCTGAAAACAACCGCAAGCAGCCTTATGAAATTTTTATAGACTCACTTCGAGAACACTGGATGTCCAATTAAGCGGAAAACCAACATTATCTCAATTTTTCACTATTCCAACATTTATTGACAAAAATGCTATTCTCCACACAATTTATAGAGAAAAAAAGTCTATAAAATATTGTAAAAAGCGTAAAAAGAGTGGAGCAGAATTTTAGGATTATAAAAATGTATTTTTATATACTTTCTTTTAATATTTTATTTGTTACAATGTGGGACGAATAAGAAATGGGCGAAATTGAAAAAAGACAGGAGTATACATGTATTTGTTTTCTTTGCAGAATTTATTAGAAATGGAATTTTCTCAAGTTTTAATCTGTCGACAACAAATGCAATTGGCATGAAGTGTAGAACAGTACGATAATTTATTCGCTTTCCAATTATGACTCGAAGCGCATGCCTGACCACTAATTGAAACAAGGGATTGCGCTTGCGCGCGAAAAGCTGTTCGTCCAATTACGGTCTAGATATACACGTTAGGTATTTTCGTTACTCATTACGTTGCATAATTAGGGATTAAGAGAGTGGCAAGTAACATTTTTCACCACTTTTCCGACGGAAAATATCTTCGCAATATTCAATGTACTGTAGGAAACATTGATGCTACTTTCTTTATCTAAACAAGTTAAAAGTAATTTAGTATTGATAAATAACTAATTAAAAAAGCAATAAAAAATAACTCAAGTATTAATAGAAAACTAATTCTTTACAAAAAACCAAATTTCAAGCTAATCCAATTCAGTTCTTATTAATTTTCCTTTATATTGGATCCACCATTTTTGGATTTTTTAAAAATGACACCAGATTCATAATTAGCGACCCCAAAAACCCCCAACTTCTAAATTTCAAGGGAACATTGCAAAAAATGGCGTCTAAAAATAAGACGTTTAGACGTTTATAAACGAATTCCATTTTCTAAATTTGATATTCCGGGTTCCGAATTACAAATTCAATTTAATTTAAATTTTATATTCAAGTCTTCAAATCCCACATTCCGAATTCTATATTTCATATTTTGAATTTCGCCATTCTGGATTCCAAATACCACATTTCGTATTTAGAATTCCGAATTCAGTTTAGACATTTTGGACTTTGTATTTCATATTCCGTTTCGAAATTTCGAATTTCGTACTTTATTTTTCGAATTCTGTATGGGACCGTCCATAAATTACGTAACACGTTTTTAGTGAAATTTTGAACCCCCCCTCCCCCTATGTAACAAGTTGTAACAAAATCGTTTTACACCCCCCCCCTCCTTATCAATGTTACGTAATTTTTAAAAATATTTTTTTACTAACGTTTTTCGAAACAAATTTGTTTATTACTGTTTTTTTAGTATTTATATCGTACAATAGCAATACAAAATTAAGTTAAATATAAAAAACATTTAGAGGAATAATTTTATTAATCATACTGAACAACCAAAAATATAACATTGATTTTTTAACAATAAAAATTGTATATTATTCCCAAGAATCGGTTCGCGAAATGATTCGATTTTTACTTATATTGAAGTGGCGGCAAGGGACAGCTTTTCAAAAATTTATCCATTATAAAGAGATTAAGTTCCTTATAAATATTACGTAACAATGATGATTGACCCCCCCCCCTCCCATGTAACATATGATAACATTTTCTCGAACCCCCCCTCCCCCCTAAACGTGTTACGTAATTTATGGACAGCCCCTATCTTACATTCTCGATCTTATAAATATCAAATTCCGTTTCCACGTTCCGGATATCGACATTCCAGAATCCTTTTTTATTTCCAAATATCGAAATTTGGGATTTTCTATCCAGAAAATGGAAAACGGAATCCGGAAACAGAATTTGGGATCGGCTTCCGGAAAGTAGAATACGGAGTCAGGGACATGTTACGTAATATTTCAGATCATAATTACATATAACTTATCCTAGATTTAATATTTTGGGTTTAGTATGTGGAATAATATGGTGTATATGGAATACGGAATTAGAAATACGGGATACGTTACGTAATCGACCTAAGATCATCCGAATATTCACTATAAAAAAAAGGTTCTAAATTAGAGCTGATTTTGGTACTACCCTAGTAGAAATTTGTCATAGTATCTTTAAGGGCACTGGACAGTTCCACTGGAAAATTTCGAGGCACTTTACAGTTAAACTGGCTAAAAACTATAAAGTGATGTCACGCTAATTTCTTCAAGTTATTGTCCAGTCAAATTTTACAGTTTCTGATCATCAGTCCTGTAGAAAAACTATACAAAATAATTCACTTGGAAATGTCAAAACTTTCTTTATATTGACGTTACGTATTAAACACGTACAAATTTGAAAATATAACGTTAAATTTTTTTGTCAACAAATTAAATAAATTAAAATTTTACGAAACTATATTTTTACTGTTGGTGTATCTATTGTTCCGTATAATAAATGATTTATAATAAATTATCTGTAAAATTATTTTTAAATAACTACATAATTAAAAAAAAATATAAAAATTACTGATTCTTGAACACATGTCATTTTTTTACATTAAACAACATTCACTTTTTCCTTGAATTAAGCACAACACTGAAATAAATATTATTATTTTATCACACTACAAACTTATAAGTAAACCCTAATATGAAGAATTAATTCAGTTCAAACGAAAAATATCTAGCGGTTTCGGGGAGCGAACTCGGGTCACACTGGGACGAAATACCTAAACGCACGCTTTACGCATCACGGCCGTTCTAGTCGATGGACGATTCCGGAAAAATAAGAACCATACTCTACCGGCAGGTAAAGCAGTTCCCTTTTTCATCTTTTCTAGCTCAACTGGCGAATTACTGGACAGCTACTGCATAACAC